ACTCTGGGACCTTGATTTCCAAATGAAATGCAGAATATGCTTTCATCTGAAAACAGGACTTGGGACCACTGGGCAATAGACCAGTACTGTTTCTCCTTAGCCAAGCACAGACGTTTCTGACGTTGTTTTTGGTTCAGGAGTGGCTTGACGCATGGGATTCTACAGCTGTAGCCCATGTTATGCAGACGTCTGTATGTGGTGGTTCTTGATGCACTGACACCAGCCTCAGTCCACTCCTTATGAAGCTCCCCCAGATTTCTGAATCGCCCTTGCTTGACAATCCTCTCAAGGCTGCGGTCATCCCTGTCACTTTTGCACCTTTTCCGGCCACATTCTTCCCTTCTTCTTAACACTCTGTTAATATACTTTGATACTGCGTTCTGTGAGCATCCAGCTTCTTTTGCAATTGCCTTTTGAGACTTTTCCTCCTTATGGAGGGTGTCAATGATGGTCGTCTGCACAACCGTCAAGTCAGCAGTCTTCCCCATGATTCTGAAGCCTACTAAGCCAGACTGAGACAATTTCAAGGCTGAGGAAACCTTTGCAGGTGTTTTGCATTAATTAGCTGACTAGATTGGGACACAGGGAGCCTACAATGTTGAACTTTGTCATGATATTCTAATTTTGTGAAATACTGGATTTGGGTTTTTTTTGTCTTTAATCCATAATCATCAAAATTGAAACAAATAAAGGCTTGAAATATTTCACTTTGTGTGCAGTGAACTCATATAACATACAAGTTTCACTTTTTGAAACAAATTATTGAAATAAATGGACTTTTCCTCGATATTCTAATTTTTTGGCACATACCTGTAACTGTCTAAAAGGAAAAAACAAATAAAAATCTGTCCAGATGAATTCTGTCCAACATTTTCAGCTGCATTTAAGCTGATTATAGTCTTTTTGTTTGTTTGTTTCTCTTAAAAATACTCTTATGTCCATGTTCACCTTCCCGCCTACAAGCCTGTGACTCATGAGATTAATATTAACTGTTATCAGTCATGCTGTGAGACAGCAGTCCTGAAGTCATCTGTGTCAGTCCCTCAGTCTCACTGGTTAACTTGTCCATGAAACTGGTTCATAATTTGATGCATTATGGGAAAAGTAAGATCCTGGTTTTTGGAGCTTGAGCCATTCCAGGGACTAAAAGTGTGGATATCTTGATCTAAGCCACATGGATTTTTATTTATTTGCCTCTTGCCTATAAACTTTATGAGAAGGCAGCACTATAACTGCTGGTGTGCATCTTTAATGTTTATAATAGAATATCTACATGTCAAAAAAGAAACACCTGTTTTAAGAGAAGAGCCAAAAAAGAGTCTGAGATGAGATGATTTTGTAAAGTAACTTGTTCAGATTTGACCACCAGATGGTGATGTTTAGCCAGCCATCACAAGTAAAGGTAGGCTTCAAATGGGGCTGTTCACAGGCAGTTAAAGCTACAATATGTAACTTTTAAAAAATTGTTGTTGTAGAAATCTGCTCCAAGACTTTTCTGAATATGGAGAGGTGCTGTCAAAGCCTCCTGTGACCCAGAGTCATTGCACTGGCAGCAGTGCCAAGATATGAGTTTTTAAAAGGTTTTGAGCAGGACTGACCTCTATAACCAATCAGAGAATTTCAGTTATTTCTGCTTAATCGCTAAGCTTTGTTGCATTCTCATTTTTTGTAATTTCATGACGACAAATATTTGAAGAACTGGGCAGATATTGGCAGAGCCTATGTTATACCCAGTTCTTTTATTGGACAGATCTGAGTAAGGAAGGAGTCCGTATTTCTTGATTTTACTGCCGGTTTATTTAAATAAATATATGAATACAGATTACAGAACACAATCCGGGTTGTTCCTTCCTCCAGAAACACACACACACTCTGGCTGCTGGGGAGAGGAGATCCCAGAAACACAGAGCCTAATACATTTAACAGTTTTTGGGCTAACTCCTTACACAGATGACCAGTCCTTGTCGTCCCTCCGGCTGCTCGACTCCGCCTGCCTTCATACAACAGCGGTGGCATCAGAGTCGCTCTGGACGATGAGGGTGGCATCATGTAGGTGCGTCTGGTCTGGGCGGTGGCATAAGTGAATGGTCTCAGAGGCCTTTTCAGGGAACTGAGGTTGAAAGTGGAGCACCACAGTGAAGTTCATTTATCTTAGTGTTTCTACTCAAGCAATTACTTGTACTACTTTTGGCTTTGATATAGATGCAGTACAGATAGTTGTGGTCAGTAATAACACAGTTTGAGTGACTATATTTACCTCGACTGGAAACATTCTTTTCCAGAGAAGTAACTCAGTACCATCCCTCCAAAGAGGAGAAGGAACGAGCCTCCCCAGCCAATGAAAATCGCAGCTCCAAGTTCATACCTGAACAGCAAATATAAAGGTATATCAATGGTTGTGGTTTGTTTTTCTGCACTTTTTAAATATCGCTGTTTTAAAATGTAATTTATAAGGGACTTGTTAAAATATTCAAACTGCTGGAAAAGGACTCACTTCAATTGCAGGTAAGCTGGGTTCAGAAAGTCTGATATGGATCTGTTGGCCCACCATGTGTAGGTAATCATTCCACAGAATGCTAGCATAAAATATGCTTTTATTAAACATCCTGAATGCATATTTCACTGTTGTTTTATATTTTAAGTTTGATGTTATGATATAATATTCCTGGATGGTTTCTTTTACCTGAAACCAGGTAGGTTATACCAGCTGCAAAGGTCACTCTTGCACTGGCAGTCTCTGACCCGCCTATTTTAGTGCATTTCATCCCTATGAGTGTGAGGACACCTCCAAAGAAGCCGGTGATGACGGAGCAGACCGTGAGAGCTCTGCAGACATGTAGGTACACTGAAAGAAAACCGAATAAAGTGAAATGCAGCAACAGCTGAAATCCATCCCTCCATTAGTTATAGTGCTGTAGAAGGTCACTGGGGAGTGGTGTGCTGGAACCAACACTAGAATTTGTATCTTATATTTTTAGATAGATAAAGGACCACAATAAACATGTTAAATGTATTGTGCTGTGCTAAACAGGCAGTCTTTGTCACGGCAAACCTTGTAACTGGAGCCAAATCCCTAATGGACCGTAGGAAATTATTAAGGTTTTGATTTTTTTTAAGTCACAGATGCAAAGAAAATATAACACTGGGGATGGTCTAGCCTTTTTTAAATAAAAAAATGTGAACAGTTCAACCCTGTCTCCACCCCAGTCATTTGTGTACATTCCCTAAATCTTTTCAAGTGTTGAGCATTTTATCTTTGAGTATGTGATGATATTTTGGTAGTTGGTATTAAAGTTTTCAGACTATCCTACCTGACAGGGCCATCATGGAGGTGTAATCCTTGCATGCAGTCGCCCCCGTGCTGTCTACAACACATTCTTTCCACAGGTTGGAATAGAAGTTGGAGGCTGTCATCACATTTCCTGAATCCTCGGACACCATCCAGAAGTCTGTGGGAATAGTGGAACACACCAAGATCCAGCCACACAGGCAGGACATGAAGCAAACGATCTCTATGTACATCACTGTCATCCTGTACTCCATGGTGAGTGTTGCTCCTCTAGGCCCAGTAGAGCTGAATTGATTTAACACAGAGATTACTGTTAAAGCTTTAAAGGCATGACAGTGTGGGAACCTGGACTGAGTTCTTCCACTGTGTCATTACTGATGCAAAGGTGTGGACATTTGGCTTTTATCTAATCTTTTAGATAGTTTTGCTCAGTAAGCATCCTTTATGTTCCCAGCACAGGCACGAACAGGGAAGTATTACTACACTTTTGGATTTTCTTCATCACTGTACAATTAATTTGTGTAAAATACTGAAGTGTCAGTTTTTCTCTTTTGCTGCTCCTCCCAGACTGGACTCACACATTTTATGAAGGAACAAATGCTAGAATGTCCATAAAGCATTGTTATTACACCAAATAAGAAAATATTTAGTTTCATGCCATAGTAAATATACATTAATAGAAAAGTATACAGTCATGGCCAAAAATATTGGCACCCCTGCATTTCTGTCAGATAACACATTACTTCACCCCGAAAATTGTTGCAGTCATAAATTCTTTGGTACTCACATAGTTGGTTTTTTTTTATGTTTGCATTAGAACAACACAGAAAAAGCAGAGGAAAAAGCCAAATTTTATATATTCCACACAAAACTCAAAAAATAAACTGGACAGAATTATTGACACCCTCATTTTAATATTTGGTAGCACACCCTTTGGACAAAATGACTGAAATCTGTTGCTTCCTGTAACCATCATTGAGTTTCTTCCACCTCTCTACTGGAATTCCGGACCATTCTTCTTTTGCAGACTGCTCCAGGTTTCTCAGATTTAAAGGGTTCCTTCTCCCAGCTGCTGTTCTGAGCTCTCTCCACCAGTGCTCTGTGGGATTCAGATCTGGACTCATTGCTGGCCACTTCAGAACTCTACAGCTCATTGTCTGAAACCATTTCTGGTCCTTTTTGAAATCTGCTTTGGGTCATTGTCCTGCTCTAAGACCCATGACCTCTGACAGAGACCCAGCTTTCTGACACTGGGCCCTACATTGTGCCCCAGAATTCATTGGTGGTCTTCAGATTTCATGCCTTACACATAGTCAAGACATCCAGTACCTGAAGCAACAAATCAACCCCAAAACATCAGTGAACCTCCAATGTGTTTGACTGTAGGGACTGTGCTTTTTTTTAATTGAAGGCCTCATTTGCTTTCTGAAAACAGTAGAATGATGTGCTCGACCAAAAAGCTCTATTTTAATCTCATCTGTCCATAGGACATTCTCCCAGAAGGACTGTGGCTTCCTCAGGTAGGTTTTGGCAAACTCCACTCTGGCTTTTTTATGTTCCTGTGTCAGCAGTGGGGCCCCCTGGGTCTCTAACCACAGCATCACTTGTTATTCAGATGGCAACGGATAGTGCGAGCTGACACTGCTGCACCCTGTGCCTGCAGGTCAGCTTGAATATGTTTGGAAGTTGATCAGGGTCAGCTTTATCCACCATTGGAACAATCCTTCATTACAATCTGTCATCTAGTTTTCTCTTTTGTTCACGTCCAGGGAGATTAGCTACAGGGCCATGGGCTGTAAACGTCTTCACAGTGTTGGACACAGGAACAGCCAGATCTCTGGAGATGGACTTGCAGCCTTGAGACTGTCCAGGCTTTTCCACTACTGTGGTTCTCAAATCCTCAGACAATTCTCTGCTCTTCTTTCTTTTCCCCATGCTCAGTGTGGTCCACACGACACAAAGGTTGAGTCACTGGCTGCCAGTGTGATTTCTATATCGCCATCACCTGATAATTGCTCCAGGTGAGTTTCATTACAAATTAAAGCATCACATGCTTGAAATACAATTTCTGGTGATTTTGAAAAGGTGTCAATAATTCTGTCCAGTCCATTTTTGGAGTTCTTTTGTCTCTACTTTTTTTGTGTTATTGCAATGCAAACAAAAGAAATAAACATGAGAATACCAAAGACTTTGTGATTGCAGCAATTTTCTCGAAGTGGTGAGTTATCTGACAGAAATGCAGGGGTGCCAGTATTTTTGACCATGACTTTAATTTATGTTTACAAAATCATTCACAAAAGTCAACAAAATGTGTGCAGGGCTAGCAATTAACAGTGTTATGTATTATTGTTTTATATTATAAAATAATCTGTTTTTATGGAATTTTTCTGATAATAAA